GGGAGCCCGATGCGGGACTCAATCCCGGGACTCCAGGATCATGACCTGAGCCGAAGGCAGTCGCTTAACCAACTGAGCCACCCAGGTGCCCAAAGAGCAATTTTTTTATTCATCAACAGATATTGCCAGCGGTCTTGTTCATGGGACCTGCATTTGTGTAAGAGAGAAATAACATTTGGGGTTCTGAAGAAGTCACAGATTTTAACATAATACTACCTATTTAAAGAGCTTCATACCTAGGGCACCTGGCTGGCTCAGTCAGTAGAGAATGCAACTAGTGATCTCAGAGTTGTGAGTTCAAGCCCCACACTGGGCTTAGAGCTTACTTTAAAAACAAACAAACAAACAAAAAACACAAATGATTTCATACATAAATATGACCCAGGAGTAAATAACATAAAGAGTAAGCTAAGCCAAAAAAATACATATATATATAGTTAATAATGTGCAGAATCCAGATATTAGATGATCATGTACATATAAAAAGGCCTAGAAATTTTTCAGGAATATAGAAAATCAAAGAACAATTAGAAAATGAGAAACTGGGAACCAGTAGTAATGCTAATCTTGCCTTTGTGATTTATCTTACACCAGACGGAGATAACCAATGATTTGTAATTACTTCCTTCCACACCTGAGTCATTTCATTGGGTAATGTCAGGGGCCACATAGATAAATAAAATACTAAATTAATTTTCATAAAATGTATTCAGAATTCTCCAGCAGAAGGAATTGGGGAAAGTCTTTGCCAGGAAGTTCAGCTTGTCTGCTTACATCTGTTGCATACTTATTGAGAATCTACTATGTTCCAGCAAGTGAGGACACAGAGAAAAGTAGGCCAGGCTTCCAGATCTGTTTCCAGGGAAAATCTGCAAGAGGAATCAGGTTGCTGCAATTTGGGGAACATTGTTTAAGGATCTGGATTTCTGAATGTCTTATAATTTTAATATTTTTCAAATATTTTACAGATAGGACATCTGAGCAAAAGTAGAGAAATCTGAGTCTTCTCCTCACTTTGACCCCTAAATCACATGAAGCAATCATTTAACCTTGCTCCATAAAGTTAGGAGAATCACGCCCGATTTCTACTCTCCATGTCATAGCAATAGTCCCAGTATTTAGGCAAGAAAATGTAAATTAGTAAGAGCTTGTTGAATTTCTTTGAAGATGCTGAGATGTGTGGGGTAACATGACAACGCGTGGCAGGGTCTCTGTCTTTTGCACTTGATCACTTAGGTATTTCTGTGAAATTTTTCTATTGCTGTATTTCTATTCAGAGAACACGTCATCTCCCCATGATCTATTTACTCGGGTCCATTTTTGAGCCGAGGCTGACTTCCTTCAGCCTCTCCGCACACTTGTAAGGTGGGTGGTCCCTGGAAAGTGGTGTGCTGGGCACTGCGGGTCACTTAGCGTTTGCCTCAGCCAAACACTCAAGGCCGGGCACCTCCCGGAAAACCTCTTCACTGCCTTTTCCCTCCTATCTCTTCCGCTCACTCCCTGAGGCTTCTGCTGGCCCTCCCGCCACTCTGTTCTCACCTCGCTTGCCCTTTCCTCAGGTCTTCTTTCCGTCTCTTCCTCCCGCCCTGGAACATGGTCCCTCCTTCACCCTCCACTGTGCACCACCCCGTCCTGTGTCTCCTGTCACGCTCATTTCCCTCCCACCAATGCTTGTGCGGGAAACTCAGCCCTGGCCACCGGGAATGTCTGCTCCGCAGCCCGTAATGCTCCCATCCGGGGGCCAGCCGTGGCACCGCAAAGCCCCCGTTTGCTTATGGGACGAGATGGAAGACACTTAGCCCGCGTCTCTTCCTACCCCATCAACTGTGCTTGAGCCCCTCCTCTGAACCCTTTGGCCTCGGCTAGTAGTACACGGGGTAGTGAGATGGGAGTATTGGGAGACATGTTCCAGTCCTAATCTGAAGAAAAGCCCCCAGGCCTCATTACCATTATGCACCAACACCAGTATGTAAGCATGACTTTTCCCAGAGTGGATTATGGAAAGCATTTCAGCAGGCGTTCAGCAATTCCCTAAGTGAGAGCACAGCAACTCTGTTTCCCATCCTGTAGGAATTCTCATGACCGGTCTTTCAACAAGCACAAAGTTTTCACTACCCTTTTTGGGGCTGGTTCAGCCCCAAAATTGGGCGGTACAGTTAGGATGTCAGGGTCCTAACACAGGGAGGGGCATTACTGAGTTCATGGAGTCACATGAGTCTCAGTCTGTGGGGGATCCCCAAAACCACCCTTGGGCTCCTATGATTCACTAGGAGGCCTCACAGGAATCAGAAAAGTTCTTTTCCTCATGGTTACAGTTTATAACAGCAAACGGATACCAGTTAAAATCAGCAGAGGGAAAGGGTCCAGGGGGTAAAGTTCAGGAGAAACCAGGCGCAAGCTCCCAGGTGTCCCCTTCCAGTAATGTCACACAAATCTGCTTAATTTTTCCAGCAACAATTTGTGACAACACATACCAAGTATTACCACCCCAAGCCTTGGTGTCTAGGGTGTTTATTGGGGTCAGTCACATAGGCATGCAGCGCCTGCCTGTCTGCCCTCAGCTCCTCAGACTCCAGCCCCCCACGGTGAACATAGGTGTTCAGCATAAATCACATTGTTGGCATAAATGATTTCATTACACTCTTACCATAGAGCCCAGGGCCTCAGGCATACAGAGACACCCATAAAAGCAAAATATTGCAAGGACTCAGAGCTCATCTCCAAAGAGCCAATCTTGAAAACGGGTCTTTCTGGGGAACATGCACAATTTGAGCAACCCAGGCCTGCTGAGTTAACCCCTTCCTGCAGACATTCCCAGGGTCAAGACACTGGAAGCCTTTGGCCACACGACAGCACTTCTCGTATCTCAACTCTTACCTTCTGGAAATAATATCCTCTCTATCTTCCCGTAGGGCCAGTGTTCAAAATAATAACCTCTGAACTGTTTTCAAAAACAGCAAAGACACTTTAAAATCACGATTTTTATCATCATCGTCACTGTCGTCATGTTAAAGTATTATCAATAATCACTGTTATCCGGGGAGGCGGGATATGGAAATGAGCCCTTAATGCTTCCCTGTGATCTCAGAACAGGTCCGAAGCGCCCGTGTCCCCTTTCGGAAGACAGAGGCACCCTCGAGAGTGCTGTGTCTCCGCTCCACGCCGGCCTCTAACCGTGACCTTGCTTTTCTCCGTCTCCCCCTCTCCCCCCGGCAGTGGCTCCGAAACCCGGGCCCCCAGCATGAGAAGCGGACCCTGTTCGGAGACATGGTGTGCTTCTTGTTCATTACGCCGCTGGCCACCATCTCGGGCTGGCTCTGCCTGCGGGGCGCCGTGGACCACCTGCACTTTAGTAGTCGGCTGGAGGCCGTCGGACTGATTGCACTCACTGTGGCACTCTTCACTATTTACCTCTTTTGGACACTAGTAAGTATGGCCCCCGGGCCGGGGGCTCGGGGTAACTGGAGCCGGCAGCCTCCCAGCTGGTGCAGCCTTCCCCCCGGGTTGTAGCCCGGCCCGCTTGCCCCGCGGAAGGCAGATCTGCAGGTGCTGGCCGGAGCGCGGGACGGGGTGATGCCCGCGCCTGCGTGCGCGTGGATGTGCGGGCGTGCCGCTGGGAAGAGCAGGTGAAGGAAAGAAAAAGCCCCAGCTCCTGAGAGCCCGTCAATCAAAGCCATTTCCCTCCTCCAGGGTTCTGGGACGCCATCCGCGACGAGGCACGGCGTTTTCTTTCTCTAGTTTATGTTCCCCACTTTTGCTGGGATGGTAGCGGATTAGGAATGATGCACTTGGCCACTGTGGCTGTCACTGTCCTGCTGCTGGTTCTTTTCTTCTTACTCCCGGACACAGCCTAAAGTCTTGGCTGGACGTGGAGCTGCGTTTTGCCGGATGATAATTCTGTGTGTTGGGATACTGACTCCGCTGCCCATAAAAACGCCAATTTATCTAGCTGAGAAGCCGCCACCAAAGAAACCCATTTCCCAGTAAGCGAGCCTGCTGTATACGAGGCAGGATTCTTAAACCCGTCTGTTTTTTTCATTCTTAACTCCTGAAGAGAGTTGAGTGCTTGGGCAGCGGTTGGCACAGCATTGATCTCACTCTTTCTGTTTCCCTCCGGGAGCTGCGGGGAAGAACGTCACCCCCCTCTAGACTCGTTTCAGAAACCGGGCGCCCTGCTTCCTGGAAGGACTCTGCTGTGCCTGCTCGTTTCTAATCTGAGCACGTGCCATGGTTACTTAATATATGTTTCCTGTCCAGAGCGTACCATTCTCTTACCCCGTAGCACGGTGTCAGCATGTGGAAGCTTCTAGCGCTCACTCACACGTACCCCTTCGCTCTGTCTTCCAAACCCTGTCCCAGCAGGGGCCACTCCTGCCCGGCAGACCATAACCCTCCCCCGCCAGCTCATTTCCCTCTTGTTAGTCCTGTGACTCTTCAGCTCTGTACCTCCCCTCGGGGGGGGGCGGGGGTCAGGGGGGTAAGTAGAGGCACACGTCAGTCTCAGTAAGAGGGACGTGGCTCCAGCCTCGGTAAAGACGGGGCGTTCTGATGCTTCGAACTCGGAGTCTCCGAGTCCCCTGGTGGATTTAGGCATTCTGCTCCCAGCCTCATGACGCCCCACCACCAGCAGAAGTATGACTGCCTCCTTTAAAAGTCTGCTGCCCAAGTGGGTCCTGATTCACTGTGAATCAAGCAATGAAGCAGACTCACACGTCACAAGGCGGTGGGAATGGGAAGAGGGTTAGAATAAGAAATCAAATCACCTTTAGCACTAACTCCCGGTCAACTGCACCAGCTTGGAAAAGTCAGTCCAGGGCTCTGAGCCTCAGTGTCCTCATCCGTAAAGTGAGGATGACAGCAATGCCCATCCCACCAGCCCCCCGGCTGCTTAGGGACCGAAAGGAGAGAGCACCCGAGGAAAGTTCTCTGGAAAATAACTGTCAGTTCTTACCATGTTTACAGGTTTGCTAGTCTACGATTTTTCTTAGACGTGTATGGAGGATGAAGGATGGTTGAAGATGTAAACCTAAGTGTTGGGCTTTCAAACCAATTCAAGGCCTTTTAAAAGGAAAACCTGCTTTGTAAAGCATACGTTCACCTATTACGAAAGAGGAAAAGGTGGCCGGGGGAGGAAGAAAGGGAAAGGTTTCGTCGGGGAAAGCGGATGTGACCCTGTTTCATCTCCCATCTCAGATGAAAGGGGGCTTGGGCAGGAAGGGTGCCTGGAGTGGGCTCTTTCAGGAGACTGAGAACATACTTCATTCCAGAAACATTTCCAAGAGGCAGGGCCGCGTAGTGGAAAGCACATGCATTAGAATCCAAAGGCCCTGCGGTCAGACCCAAGATTTAGCATCCTAAGAGCTGTGTCACTCTAAACAGGGTACTTCACCTCTCTGATCAGCCTTCCCCTTATGCAGAAAGTGGAGGAATGGTGACAGCCCCTGGGTCACTGGGCTACCGTAAGGACTAGGTGGGGTACCTTCAGGAACGTTTATCAGAGCACCCAAAATAGGCAGGGGCTTTCTTCCTCTGGACGCCCAGCCGGCTACAAGAGGCAAAGCCGCTGGAGGGGAGGGAAGGCATTCTCCCCTCTGACGGGTGTGGACACCGCACTGTGGAGCCCCTGAGCCAGAGGTTCCTGAATCCGGGCTGAGTCCCTCCCAGATAAATGCTGTACTGAGCCGCCCTGGCAGGAGCCGTAACTCAGGAGCTGACAGCACTTGGAAAGTGCCCTCCGGCAGAAACCCATTGTAAACAAGCTGTCAGGCTCCCGGAGAATATGCTGTGAAAATGTCTTAGATAAACAAACACCGCGTCAGTCCCAGCCTTCCTGGCAGGGCCCCCGCCGCCAGCGCTGGGAAGGGGGACACACAGCCCCGCCTCATCGCACCTCTGCAGTCCATGCCCGGCCCTGCTGCCCCCCGGGGAACTGGGCCTTCTGGAACCTGCATCTGGGACCCGCGAGCCCGGGGAGGGGTGCCCTGGAAACATCCCTGCCCACATCACAAACCATTTGAGGTCCAGGAACAGACATCATCTGAGTCCACACTCAGCACTAAGAAGTCACCTAGGGTGGCACTTATAATTAGCCCCACGCTGACAGGTGGGGGGACCGGGATGCCGTGCTGCAGGGAGACCCTGCGTTCACTACATCACCGAGGCAACAAGCAGCGCCCAGCACGGAAACTGGTTAAGGCCCGGAATGGAATGAATGAGCGACCTGTTTCCTCTGGCTGACTCCCAGCCCCATGGGGTAGTCGTCTGACGTCTCCTTATAAAGTCGGGAGACCTCCGGGAGGACGCTGCCCAACGAGGGTCACCGTGTGCACGCTGGCTGAGCCACAGCCCACACGGCCCACGGTGGCCTGAGGGTGTTGAGGGTGACCCTGTGTCCGGTCCTTCTCTGAAGCCCATTTGCTCTCACACAGCCCGCCTGCTCGGTGCAGCCGGAGATCGGGGAGCTGGGCCGTTTCTGGGAAGACGAGGCCCTGGCCCCATCAGTAGGCCTCGATCACACCATAACCTCCGGAGAGAAAGGGCAGAATAAAAAATAGGTAATGCGATTTCCCACCCCCTGCTGTGACTTTACAGCAGACCTTAGGCCACAGCCCGTCACCTCCCTGCCAGGGACAGGTGGATGCTAATGTAATCCTTCCTTGCCCCGTCCACGTGGCTACAGCTCTTTGTGGATCTTGCCCACGTTAATATCCTTTGGATGAAGAAATGAATACACCTCAAGAAAACCATCCCAAAAGAAACATTTTTAGAACAGTGGCCCTGTGCTCTTTCTTCCTCTTCTCTCCATAACACAGACATTTAAGGAGCGCCTGGGTGGCTCAGTCCGTTCGGCATCCAACTCCTGATTTCGGGTCAGGTCTTGATCTCAGGGTCATGAGATTGAGCCCCGTGTCGGGCTCCCGTGCTAGGCATGGAGTCTGCTTCAGATTCTCTCTCTCCCTCTCCCTCCCTCTGCCTCTCCTGGGGACATCTAAGAAATATCTAAACCAAGTCCCAATGTTACAATTGTCCTAGCTTCTTTTTGTTTTGTTGTTTATTCTTCCCTCACTGCCTCTTTATTCCTCTAAGTCAACCCTTCTTTTTTCCTATTCTGTTCCACTGCGGTAAGGGAGTGTCTTGGAGCTCCTGGCCCAGGCTCAGCATTAGCCCAGGGCATTTGCAAACCTGAGGTCCCGTCTGCATTAGGCCCAAGTTCCTTGATTTTCCCCAATAAGGAGTCATCTTCATCTGATGCTTTCTTCTCATTGATTGAATTTGCCTGCAGACTGTGATGGTTAACGGCAATTAAGATAGATGAATGCATAATAAGACCTCATTTGTTTGTCTGAACAAGCGGGCTGATTTTCGGGCCTCCTGGCCAAGGAACCAGGAGACCGCTAAGTCGTTGACTCCCCGGATTGCCTGCAGCAGCCTTCTCAGGCTTGCAAGGATCTGCGAATCACCTGGGGATCTTGTTAAAATGCACGCTCTGATTCCTTAGGTCTGGGCGGAGCCCAGAATGCTGATGTTCTAACAAGCTCCCAGGTGACCCACAGCCACGCTGAGAGCAAGCGAAATAGCGCTTTTTTTTCCTTGTCCCCCCACTTCCTCTGTGTCTAAGAAGGAGCCTCCACAAAACTGTCTTCTTTTCCGTATTTAACGCATCAAAAATAACAGGCCGAGAACACTACCGTGTGGGAGGCACGGTGCTGAGTGCTTTCTGTGCGCTCTCAGACACCACTCTTCACGTTTTGCCGACAAGGAAACGGACGCTTGGGCGTGGCAAGCAACCCTCCCGGCGTCACGGAGCCACTAGGCAGAGGATGGGGACCCAGGCCTGGGGTGCCAGGCCCGAGAGCGTTGGAGAAGGCGCCCCCTGCATGCACCCGCGGCCACTTCTAGGCCTACCCGGCGGTCCAGCGCGCACAGCTCCTTAACACACAGACAAAGCGTCTCTTGATTTGAAACCCAGCCTTCCTAGAAGATCTCCAGATTCCGGTCTTCTTGGACTGCCAAAGCTCCTCATTAGTACGAGTCTGCCTTCCACTCTTTTTACCCGCTCTTGGCCCCGAGCGGCAGGCCTTCCCGGCTGCCTCGCCCACATTCGGTGAGGAGCACCAAGCAGTAGCGGGACAGAATCGATACATGAGAATCAAGCTTGGCGAAAAAAAAATACAACCCAAACCTGATCCACTTTGGCATGTTCAGGGCCTTGTGGAGAAAAGCACATCTGTGTGAGTTTAAAAGCTTATATTTTCATACCCAAATCTCTCTGGCACTCGGCCTGTGGCATCTGCTCTCTAGCCTCGGAAATTTAAGCTAGCGGCCTTGAATTGCACAATCCTGCCAGAGGACCAGTAAGCCCTTTCTGATCCAGGGCCTGTGGTCTCTTCTGCTTCCAGAAATGCTGAGTTCCAACCATGGAGTCAGCCCTCTCTCTGTGACCACCAGGGACCCTGTCCTGGGGTCAGCCCAATGCACCCACCCCAGATGATTAAACAGCTCATGCCAGGTCATCTGTCAGCCTAAGCTCATAGGCACCTTCCTTCCCAGTACCTACCTAGTCATCTGCATGCTTTCAAGCTGGAACCTTTCCCCATTTTTCAAGACAGTCCGTGCATCTTCAGAAGTACAGACTGACCTTTCCGGGCAGCCCACCCAGGCCGTACGCTAGCCTTCTCGAAAACGAACGACAGATGTATCTCATTCCAGGATATTTACAGGAGAAGCAAGTACTTTTCGGCATAGTTAAGCCACCATTGGCCATCAGTTTACTGCTCATAATGTAGATTATATAAGAGAGGCTTAAATCTGAAACAGGGTTGCAATCAGAAAGCGGAGGATATTTATTCACTCAGCAAACTCTACTGAGCAACTTCTTTTTTTTTTTTTTTAAGATTTTATTTATTTATCTGAGAGAGAGAATGGGAGACAGAGAGCATGAGAGGGGAAGGGTCAGAGGGAGAAGCAGACCCCCCGCTGAGCAGGGAGCCCAATGTGGGACTCGATCCCAGGACTCCAGAATCATGACCTGAGCCGAAGGCAGTTGCTTAACCAACTGAGCCACCCAGGCGCCCTACTGAGCAACTTCTTAAGCGCCAGGCACATGATAGGCGCTGGGCATGCAGTGATGAATACAACCCAAGCCCTGCTGTCGAGATGCTTCTGGAGCAGGGAGAGAGAGACACAAATACACTGACGTATGGAGCACTTGATGCCATGCTGAGGTAGGCACGAGGCACTGCAGGTGCCCAGGGAAGTGGATCCTACCCCAGGCTGAGGCTCAGGAAGAATTTATCCAGGGACTTGGTGCCCATGCCAAAGCTTATCCCACTGGAAGCCATAGAACGCCGGAGCTGCGGGCGTCGGGAATCACCGGGGCCCCGCTGGTACAGTTGTAAGAGTTGTGCATGGCACAATTCGAAGGGTACCCTTCCTGAATGTTGAATTGTGCAGTGTCCAACCTGCAGGAGGGGACGTGACGCCCAAGCATCCCTCTTATTTAACAGAGAGGAAGCTGAGGACCAGAAAGATACATGGCCGAGGTTAGCGCCGTACCCACTCTGCCTGGCTGTCTGTAGCCAACCTGCTTCACAACTGATGCTTTGGGGCCCAAATGCTACTATCCCCAAACTAAATCCAGCCTCTGAAGGAACCTCATTTCCTAGTCATATCCTAACTGTTTCCACTCTGAGGGGGAAGAAAGGAAGCCACCCAGGAGCCCTGCCCCTGTTCAGACAGGGGTGTTCTCTGGTCGGTGCCTATCTCCCAACACTCAGCTGCCGGCCGGCAAGGTGTGGCCCGGGGCGGGGGGTGGGGGGGCCTTGCCTCGTTTTCCTGCCGCCAGCTATTCGGAGCTGTTTTCAATGACCTGTTTGTTTCTTGGATTGATTATCGGCTTCCGCTGACCTGAAACCCTCCCTTCTGTTTCCTCTCCTGACCCCAGGTGTCATTTAGGTACCACTGTCGATTGTATAACGAATGGCGTCGGACCAATCAGAGAGTGATTCTCCTCGTCCCAAAGTCTGTCAGCGTCCCTTCTAACCAGCAGTCCCTGCTGGGCCTCCACTCTGTCAAGAGGAACTCAAAGGAGACCATTGTCTGACGTCCGTGTGGCTGGTTGGCTGACTCGTTGTTTGGGGTTCCGGACGTTTCTGCACTGGGGCCATGCACTGAGCCACCCCCAAGCCCTTCCTGAAGCCGTGGGTCTCGGGACATCCAGAGCCGTGGGAGCACCGCGCCCCGAGCAACGGACTCGACCCCAAAGAAAGCAAACGCCGTTTCACTTGGAATCATGGATGATGCAATCACGTGATACTTGCTGGGCTGCCAAACGTGCTTACTGAGCAGACACTATACGGAGTTTCCCGAACACCTCTTTGACAGATGAGGAAGGTTGTCCTGCTAAAGATGCAATTCAATGCTTCCTTTTTTATTACTATTTCAAATATATATATAGATATAGATATATATTAAAGTCAGATGATAATCACCATGGAAAAGCCAATGTTAAAACTGGTTTCTTGGTTTGGACGGGTTTGGTTTTGGGTGAGTGTATTTGTTTCCCGGTTTCTACTGTAGATTCTTTGGGGTAATTTGATAACCTGAGTGGTCTTTTTTCATCTCCTTCTTCTCTCTTACTCAAGGGGACAGCGTAACAACTGCAGAACAAGGCATATCTGAAGGACGTTTTGTACTAAACTTCATTTATTCCGTTTTTAAAGGGGAAAAAAAAAAGGTGTGGCGACTCTCCCGACAGTGAGCTGTTTATTTAAATTTCATTAAAGAGACAAAAAAAATTATGGTGAGAAGCACGCTCCTTTCAACTTGTTTAGTACTGCCGGCTGATAAAAACTATTTTCTAATAATAAATATCCAGTGTGTGAAAGACAAACCCCATTGATTGCAATATTCTTTTTTTTTTTTTGAAATTACAAAACCGGTGAAGTTTCCCCAAAGTAGATTTTTAAAAGAAAAAAAAAAAAGAGCAAGTAAAAAGGTTGGTGTTCTTACTCCCATCCCATGTAGTTCATGTCTTAATTCTGCATTCGCAAGGAACCTCAGAGGATCATTAGACATTTCTAGGAACCCTGGACCTGTTTTGCATATCAATTAGCAGTCCCATTGCTCTATTGGATTTCTAGCTTGACAGGTAGATGTGGCAAGAAGCGTGTCCTAGCAGACTACAGCCCCTTTGTCTGGTTTAAAAAAAAAAAAAAATGAGTCCCACACAGTGCCTTCCCGGAACCACGAGCCAATTCTGTCACAGGCTGAACGAGACCTTTCCTAAGGGCTTCATGTCCCTCTTTTATCCATCACAGTGGAAAGGGTCTAGCCTGCACCCCGTGTTTGCATCCCGCTGAAACCAAGGGGCACATGGGTCACCCGAGGAAAGGACTTGCTGGCTCCCCTGTCCGCCCGCCTGCCGCCCACCCACACGCCCCGGGAGGAGAAGGCAGAGCCCAGCGTTGGGGAATGCTTCAAATAGAGATTTCTAGAACATGACCCACATTCTGAATATCACTCCAGCGTCTGCCTTATGCCCCCCAAGCGGGAGAGCGGAAAGTGCAAAGGTCCAGGCAGCGAGGAGGGTAAGGATTCTCGGCTGCAGGTTGATCAAGCTGATGCAGGTATCAGCTCTGCCTGCCGAGCCCCCCATTCACAGACTGCTCCCCATGCAGCAGGCGGAGGGAAACAGATGAAGCTCAGATGTGCTTTATGGCTGATGACAATAGATGCCCTCCCCACCACGCTTCCCTTCGGTGCTCCATTCCCCTAATAGATGCCTCAGCTCCTCTGTTTCCTCCGCCCCCTTCACCCTCCAGGCTGCCATTAGCTGCACCACCATCCACCGTTTCTCAGTCAACCTTTTTAAAATGTGGACACCACTGGCTGCATGCAGCTCTCACACATTAAATTTCCAAAGCCGGGGGTGGGGGGGGTCCACTTCGTGGCTTGTGAATGACACTCACGAGTAGAGTGGAGAAATAACATCCCCCCAGCCTGGGTCCCTGAGCCGTCAGGTTAACCGGCGACACCTCTCAGTGGAAGGGCACAAGCATTCATGGGAGGACCGTAGCCTTTATCCTCCCGGCTTCTTCCATGAATGAAGGAAGTGGGAGATCCCCGGGATCATTTCCTGTTGAGTCGGCTGCAAGGGAATGCCTGCTTTCCTGGTTCATGAGACGAGACATAGGGACTCAAAATAACAACGGCAGACAGGTGCCAAGCAGCTTGCTGGGGCCCCTGCGCTGGGAAGGGGCACGTGGGTACTGGGTCTGTGCCATACCTCTTTCCCCCATATTTGCATCCCCACCCTGGGAAATAAAGCAGAGTCCACATGCAAGGAGTCAGTTGCGGGGGGGAGGGGGGGCAGGACGCTCCTGGCAGCTAAGAGTAGCCTCGGTGCCACCGTCCCAGGCCACCAGCTTGGGTCCTCCTCATGCGAGACTCTGAGTTCCATCAGCACCAGGACGCATCTGAGATGTTGATGAAGTTCTTCATCCCTTCTTGGCGCTTTGAACCCTGATGTCGTTCAAGGCTAGGGAGTGCAAGGAACGACAATAAGTGCACCACGAGGCACCAGCCAAGAGGCACGGGCCAGGCGGGGGCCACAGTCCAGGCCTTGTGTCTGTCGCCAAGCCAGGCTGCACTCGCCCTAGAAGAAGGGTGCCTCTTGCTAACCCGTGCAGAGGCGCTGAGCCCTCACCAGCGGCTCGGCCAGGCTTGAACCTCTGCTTCAAACTCGAGAATGAAGCAGGGAAAGGAACGAGGAGGGGCGAGTGAAGGACGCTGGGGGTTCGCCGCTTCCCTTCCATCGACTCCTTCCACGGCCTGCTCTCCCCCGCTCCGGGCCGTATCCTAACCCAACCATTTCCCTTGCGGATATTCGGTAGAGACAAACACATGTCACGGTGAAGCCGGAGGGGGAGAGGGACAACTGGAACAAGCCCAGCGAGCTCTTGCCTGCCCTGTGTGTGTGTGTGTTTGTGTGTGTGTGTGTGTGTGAGTGTGCACCCCCGCGTGCTTCTGTGTTCTCCTCTGGGGGTTCCAGAGAACCCGGAACGTTCGCACAAATTCTACAGCTCAGAGGACTGAGCAGAAGCTCAGATGAGCTGGAAAATCCAATAAAGGAGAAATGAATGGCACGACTTGGAAGTGACTTGTATTTGTCTTTCGTGGCCCGGCCCCACTTCCCCGTGCCTGAGCACTGTCCGTGGTCTGTCCCTCTCGGCTGGGCTGTCCTCACAGTTATGTCATCTTTAGTGGAAGTAGCTCATCTGCGGGCACGGAGGAGCCGAAGGAGGAAATGGGAGTAAAACAGCAGCCTGCCTCCCCGCACTTTGGCCAGTGGCCAGCTGGAGGTTCCATGTCCTCCCCGGGCCTCTTTGTTCCTCTCCTGGCCCCGGCTCGGCCGCCCGGGGCTGTCTCTCCCTTCCCTGACACGCTGCCCAGCTGACGGAGCGGCGTGACCTGCACAGAAACTTCACCCTCAGTCTGCTCTCACCAGGGAGGAGAGACCTGGGAAAGGAAATCAGCACATGCTTCCTTTCCTCTCTGATCCAGAATGTTCCCAGAAGCTTACCGGAAGATGAGCCACACAGCTCTAAGCCCTCGGGCTGGAGGAGATATGTAGGTTGTGATTCTGGAGCCATTCGTGGGAGAGCAGGTGGGCCTGTGGGTAGGGACGGGGCTCAGGATCATTTTAGGACCAGAGGTGGGGACCGGCATGCACCTGGCTGGACATCACCTGGCCTTGGCCAGGCCCAGGGAGGGTCTACAGACCGGCAGGCTGCCACGAGAGGCCTGGGGCCGCAGAGGTTTGGAATGAGGGGAAATGGGCACCCCAAAGCAATGGCTGGGCAGTTGCACGCCCTCGCCAAAACGTGTTGGAATGCACGGGCAGAAATGCATGGGCCAGTATGTCCTACAGTCCACCTTTCTTGGCTTTACAAAGCTCTCAGCGCCCAAGAGTTTACCGCCTTCCCCTTGTTGTTCAGCTGTAGTGGGGTGATTCCGTCTCTCTGCTTCCCAGTGCAGTGGCGTGGGAGAGAACCAGCCCGGCTCTGCCCTGGACAAGGGAGCCCACCTATCCAAGCCTCAGTTTTTTGCCTCTGTAAAATGGGGGCAATGCCTACCCCGGACAATCCCTGTAAGATTTGTAAGGTTCAGCTCCCAGGAGTGGATGCACGAATGACAGGGACCCTCCCTCCCCTTCCTTCCACTCACCGTGGCTGATTATCTGCGTTATTCTGACCCAGCTTGGGGCCTGACAAAGGACTTTCATAAATGATCTGAAGGACCATACACAGATAGTTTAAAATCCTTTTCAGAAAGAAGAGGGACTGATTTTAAATAATCAACAGATATTTATTGAGCACACTGTGCTTGGAATAAAAAGAACAGCAAGAGATCCTTCTGGAGGTTGAAATTACTGACTTGATTGAGATCTTTGAATCATGCGTAGATTTCAGTTACCCTTGCATTTCCTGACACTGGAGCGATGGCTAATTGAGAATTCATCCCAGATTAAAAAAAAAAAAAACAACTTTTTTTTTTTTTTTGCCAGTTCTGGATCTAGTGCTACAGAGGAAAACAAATATAGTCTATCAGTTGTCTGTATTCCCAGAAATGAGGGACTCATGAGTCACGGAGCTCATACATCTAGTGCCTTCTCAGAGGCTCTGAAGTCTGTGCACAAAGACAATACAAGGAGACCAGCCACAGAGCCCTGCCCATTATTAAACTCTCCTTTTCGGACATGCTTTTCACCTACCGGGTCCAAAGTCACCCTATTTAGGAAAGGAATATATGGACCCCGTCAGAGGTTTTATTTTATCATATGCAAAGAACTGAGTTAATCCTGCATCTGATCCCTGACAACTTCTATCACCGTCAGCCTCTATGGGTCCTTCTGTTTTATTCCACGAGTACATACATAGAGCCAGACCCTTCCCATGAGCCATGCGCTAGGCAGCACTTTGAAAACGACCTCATCTATTGCTGCCTAACAAATCACCCCAAAAGCAACCATTTCATTGCATTTCGCTGTTCCCTGGGTTGGCTAGGGCTCAGCTGGGCAGTCCGTGGGCAGGGCGTCTTCTGGGCGCACTTGGCCGTCTCAGACACTCAGATGGGTCGAGTGCTCCTCCCGTGGCCTTGTGTCTCCACCTGGCATCTCGGCTTCGAGGGCCCCTCTCTTCCCATGGCAGCTCAGGACTCCAAGAGGGAAGAAGCTTCTGTCCTGCGTCACGCCTGGGCTGGGAAGGGCCGGTGGTCCCTTCCTTGCATCCTATTGGTCAAAGCAGTGACACGTCCCCGCCCCCTGATGGGAGGGGCAGAATTGTATGGGGCCGTCTTTGCAGATTAGCTACCAAAACCCTTTTAATAGATGGGGAAGCTTAACCTGAGAGGTTAAGTGACTTGCCCAAAGTAACAGAGCTAGTAAGGGGCAGCCCTGGGATTCGGACCCAGGCTCTGGAGTCCATGCCCTCGACCACTACACTACGATGCCTCTCAGTTTCTAGTTTGAGTAGTCCCCCCTTCATCCCGCTCTCCACTCTCATCGTGGCCCTTCATGAGGCACCCACTCTAATAGGCTTGATACATAAACTGAATATATATATATATATATATACATATATATTTGCAAAACATACTGTTTTGTGAGCAGATGTCTTAATTTACATAAAAGTGATGATGCTAGGGGTGCCTGGGTGGCGTGGTCGGTTAAGCACGTGGGACTCCTGGTTTTGGCTCAGTTCCTGGTCTCAGGGTCATGGGATCCAGCCCCTCCTCAGGCTCCTCGCTCAGGGCAGAGTCGGCTTCAGTTTCTTTCTTCCTCTCCCCCTGCCCCTCTTCCCTGTGCATGCACGTGCTCGCTCGCTCTCTTTCTCAAA